TTTTTTTTTTTTTTTTTGGAGCTCGGCCAGGGAGGTTCTGCTGAGAGTGCATGCTCGTTCTCATCACTGTGTTGCTTGTACGGCTGCACTCGCTCAAACTGGCTCAAAGTTTGCCTGCTGAATCAGATCTTCCACCTCTGGTCATCGAGCAGCTTCTCTGGATCAGTTTGGAGTTTGCTTTTTTTAAGAGCATCCCTCTGCAGCAGTTTTTAAGAGAAAACTTAAATCCCCAGCTGCTCGACAGAAGCAAATTGGCTTTTTTCTGCTCAGCAGTCAGCTTCTCGAACACGGTCTTGTATCAGAAATGAAACTCTTCTTTCTCTGGTCCTGAGTTTTAATCCCACTTTTCAGGCTAATACAGTATAAAAGGCACATAGTTACAGATACTGGAAATGCAGCACATAGCTAACTGCTCTCAGGCATAATGTGTGTTATGCAGATAACGTGAGTAGAATAGAGATAGTGACGACTGCTTTGTGCAGGACGCAGTGGCCGCTGGCTGCAGCAGCTTTGCATCCACAGATTCTGTGTTCGGAATCAGATGCTACGTGAGGAGGTTACTCTCTTCTCACACCTTTAACATCTGAATACCACTGAAGCTGAATTCAAATTAGTTTTACATCATTATAAAATTAATAACTTTGTATTTTCGGCCAAACGAAACAAGAAATTTAAGATTGTCATTTTCATCTGAACTTGTCATGAACCCACAGCCTCTGCTTGTAAGAACAACACTTAATAAATAAGACGACGTGGAGAAAGATTAAATTAAGATGTAGATCATGTGAAGGACCACCACTTCTTTACACGATTGTCTGACCACTAGATGGAGCTGTAGCCTCAGGAAAAAACACATACAAATCATGAACACCACTGGAGCATCTTCCGGAAATTGCTTTTTTTTGCTTTTTTGAATCTGTATCTTTTGTTTTGTCAGAAGTATCATAGATATGAGAGAATCCAATAAAGGCCATGACACTAGTCCTTAATGAATTGAAGTCTTTACTCGGAGCGAGTAATTGTACATTCACGGCGACATATCTTTGGTGCAATCATTGTCTATTATTCTTTAGACAAAGCCGCAGATGTTCACCTCCTCCTGTTCTCGCAGCTCCGTGCTCGACTGATTCTGAAGACGCTCAGATTGTTTCAGCTAATTTACACATTATTCTTAACTCGGCCCATTTTTCCTCACTCTGCTCCAAGTCGCCCCCTAAAATAGTTCACGTATCTACTCCTACCACTCCCTCCACCCCTCGCATGTGGAGCACGGCTTCTTTTCTACCTGTCTCATGTTAAGGCTGAGGAGGAGCTCCATTGTTAATCAACAGCAGCTAAACTTAATAAAGGTAATGATGGCTTTTAGATCAGCTCACTGTTTTCCTGCCACGTCTTGTGCACCACTTAGCTGTGATGTAGCAGAAAAGTGTAGTAGAGTAGTACTTCTGTTATTGGTGGCAGTTGAAGTATTTGTTGTGTGGTAAAATAAAACCTTTGTAATTCGGTTTTATCGTGATGTAACAATCAGATCAGCAGGTAAGAATCAGAGGGAACCTTTCCTTTATTAAACATCGTAATATTTCCACAGCCCGTGTGGTGAGTAGTTGAAACATATTTCTACTGCCGTGCTTCGTGGTGCTTGCAGTCACACAGTACCAGTCACACAGCTGACATGGAAAATATGCAGGATGTGTTGGAATTAAGCTCTCTGGCTCTTCCCGGTTATCCCTGTCATAAATTTTAAATAACCGGTCCTATGGATTTGTCAGCCCTGCGCTTAACATGCTCCCAAGCTGCTGCTGCTGCCATTAATTACAAAAGCTGCACATGTTGGAAGCTCGTTACATCCCGTTACATCCTGCGTGTTTCCTCCCAAGTAGTCGACTGTCCAACACCATTTTAAACATTTACAAAAAGGCTTTTCATTTTGCTTAAAATATATATACTCCTCCATGAAAACATGAAGATAGCCCCTCACACAGATAGGAAATGTTGTTGTGCAGTCTGTTGGGTTGATAAGAACGACGAAGATTTCAGCTTATCCGAGCGGAAGCTTTGACCAACAACAGAAACGTATTAAAAAGAGATACATCTCAGGAATGAGATAACTTCGAGAATAAAAAAGACTCTAGCTTTAATATTTCATATCTTGTTTTGTTTGTGTTATCTCTACTTGTTGCCTTTCTCTTCATGCCGGTCGTCTCGTTTCGAACAGAGGTGAATTATTCACCTCTGTATGTGTTGCACTCCTGTTTCCTCATGTGGGATAATTTACAGAGATCATTCAGAGGCTTTATAATGAGCAGGCGTACTGGTCTGGTAGTGCATCATTAAATTAGAGGTCCTCTCTCCGTCTTCATTGGCTTCATCGGCATCACTGTTTCCCAGAGGTGTTCGGATTAAGTCTGGGAAAATGTGTGTGTATGTGTTCATGCAATCATTCCGCACTGTTGCTGTGTAAAAATGTGTGTGCTTCTGAGCACATACACACATTATACCAGACAGTGAAATGACAGGCTTCATTGTGCGCATGTTACATGTGGACATACTGCACTGTGAACGTTGGCATGTGAGTTTAAATACGCAGCAATGTACTTAAGTCTCTACATGTTTACATGTTTTTACCACAATGTTGACGGTTGTGTGTGTGTGTGTGTGTGTGTGTGCGTGTGTGTGTGTGTGGTCAGCGGGTCACGGCTGCTGCAGCCAGCGCAGGTGTGTGACGTGCTGAAGGGCCTGATCATGGTGCTGTGCTTCTCCATGATGCACTACGTCGACTACTCCATGATGTACCACCTGATCAGAGGACAGTCTGTCATCAAACTCTACATCATCTACAACATGTTGGAGGTGCTTCACAATTCATACATTTCATTCTCCGCAGTGTGAAAGAAACCTATTTATATATTGTTCCGTATCTGTTGTCAGGTGGCAGATCGACTCTTCTCCTCTTTCGGTCAAGACATCCTGGATGCTCTCTACTGGACGGCCACAGAACCCAAAGAACGGAAAAGAGACAGTATAGGAGTCATCCCTCACTTCCTCATGGCCGTCTTTTACGTCTGTATCCTTCTGGCTAAAATAAACAGTTTATAGCAAGATATAATAGTTGAACTTTTAACAGGCGATGTCCAGGTACAGCCTCATGTGATGTTATATTTCTGTGTGAGCTCGCTGTGACCACCGGAGAAGATAAATCACGGCTTTTAGAGAAAGTGCAACTTAACTTAGTCGACAAACAGCACAATCAGCTTTGCTTTGATTTTCTTTGGGCTAGACACAAACACTGGAACTACAAGGAAAGAAATGGATTATTTTTTGCTCGGGTCTGGAAGTAGGATGATGATCTGCAGAGCCTCAGTCAGGTTCAGTGCACTGTATATCTATCATCTTGTAAAACGTGTGTCTCTTAGTCCCACATTTAGGACGATTAAAGAATTTGAGATTACGTTTTCAAGCTGTACTTTATAAAGATTTAGCCGAGTGACCTTGTGTGAATGAGCCGGGCACAGGGTGGTGTTTTCAGGGGGTCGAACTGATAGCTTGCATCCCTCGTTAAAGGTTTTAATGGTGTTAAATTGCTTTTTAAATGAGTTTCTTTCCTGAGTGGCTGCCTCTCAGTCCTCCACTCCATCCTCATCATGGTCCAAGCCTCCACCCTCAACGTCGCCTTCAACTCCCACAACAAGTCCCTGCTCACCATCATGATGTCCAACAACGTCAGTGCACAATCTACACAACTGTACACGATTACCAACAAATGACGTGCTTTTGTTCTCATAAACTAAGTTTTACTTTAGTTGTTTGTGAGCAGAACGTTTCACGTTGCCTCATTGGTGATGAAATGCAGCTGCAACATTATTCTCCATTTGGTGAATTCTTCTATCTACATTATTTTTCTGTGTCTCTGCTCTCTCTCTCGTGCACAGTTTGTGGAGATCAAAGGAAGCGTGTTCAAGAAATTTGAAAAGAACAACTTATTCCAAATGTCCAACAGTGGTAAGACACACAGTGTTATTCTTAAGAAGTAATTGGACGTTTGTCATGTTTCCGTGTGTTGTGATGTTCTCAGCCTCCATAGAATTAGATATTCACAGACTTGAGAGTGTCACTGCAGGAGACTCCAGGATAAATCATCTGAAAAACGTGTCCTACAAACAAGTGCATTTGTTCGGTACATTCTGATCCTCTCCTTCTTAAGATCCGTCCGCCGCTGTGCTTATATATGAAACTATTTAAGGCTTAATTCCTCATCCCTACATAGGAAGCTTTCCTGAATCCATTTTGCTTTGAAAGATGAGTGCAGACGTTGCTGGAGAATGAAATGTATTGTGTGTTTCCTCTTATATCCCCACAGGCAGCATCGTTTTATCTCAGTCACACTAATTGTATTCTAATGACAGTAGAAGACAATGCACTTAATCATCTGCCGGTTTCTCAGTTTTCTCTGATTTCTGTTTGTGGAGCTGAGATAAGTCATAACTAGCTTGGTATTATTAATGCAGATAATGGTGCGCTAAACTTATACAGCCGAGCCTTTTCTATTTCTATATACACATTTAAAACGTTCTATCACACCTGTTTGAAATCTTGCACAGCTTTGGAAATTAGGTTTATTTATGTAGCTCATTTAATACACAAGGCTTAATGAAAGAGCTTCACTCATTGATAATAATAATTAAAACAAAGTATTTCAAGTCATCTGAAGATAAAGAAAGAGAAGACCTGCAGTTGGTTCTCATAACATTTTCTCTACCAGATTGTTTGAGAGTTGAAAGACGGTAATTTCACATTGGATTATTTCATCTTGCAGATATCAAAGAGCGGTTCACCAGCTACGTGCTCCTGCTCATCGTCTGTCTCAGGAATATGGAGCAGTTCTCATGGAACCCAGGTAATTAGGTGTTTTCCATCAAAAGAGTTGCATATATTTTTTTTAAATATTAAAGTAAGTTACCCCAAGTGTATTCACCATAGTTTTAAAATCCCGGCACAAGGGTTTGTGCTCGACATGAGGAACATTTCAGACGAGTTTGCTAAGCGGCTGCTTTCCTGAAGTTTCCGACGTCCCTCTGCAGCACCACGGGGACTTTAAACTCCTACACACCTCAGTGAATGAGACACAGTGGAGTGAGGGACGAGAGCTGGGCGTTTGAGTTTGACAGCTCTCTGAAAACAATCAGCTCCTCCTGACAGGCTCAAAGCCAGAAACACAGTAGATGACAGACGCGGCCTGTCAGCTGGAATCATAACACTGACGTACGAGCGCTGGCTGAGCTGCAGCTCCGTGTTGCTAAAGAGGGATTCGTGTCACAAGTCCCCAGTAGTTTACTCATGTTCTATTCTGCACTTGTGGTACCTACGTTGTTTGGGTTGTGCAGCAGAAAGTGCAGCTTTTATAACAGTCGTCAACAACAGTGATCAGGGACCTTGTGTGCTGTTGGCAGATGATATTATCAAGGGACGGTTTGCTGAGTATTCGTATCATCTCAAAATTAATTTCAAAATATCATCTTGTTTGCGTTCTTCCGTCAGAGCACCTGTGGGTGTTGTTCCCTGATGTCTTCATGGTCGTCACCTCTGAAGTCGCTGTTGACGTTATTAAACACGCTTTCATCACAAAGTTCAACGACATCACTGCAGATGTAAGGACCCCGTCTCATTCCAACACACGTAGCACTCTTATAAAACTGTATATGATCCTTTGCTTTCTTTCTTTCCCCCCCCTGCAGGTGTACAGTGAATACAGAGCCAGCCTGGCCTTCGATCTCGTCAGCAGTCGACAGAAGAACGTAAGCGGCCGTCTCTTCTTCATATCATCATCCTTGTATTTGCATAAAGAGCGCTGAGCCTACGCAGCTAATCAATGAAGTTTTGTTGAGAGCTGTAATCTGTGTTGTGTGTCACTGTGTAGGCTTGTACTGACTACAGTGACTCAGTGGCTCGGAGGATGGGATTCATCCCTCTGCCCTTGGCTGTTCTGGTAAGACAGGCTGCAGTCTGTTGCTGTCCAGGAATTGATACCAGGAGAATTAGTCATTAGCACATAAATATGAGCCAGAAAAACTATAGATTGAAACTAATTCTGCTTTGTAATGTTTTAACAGCTTATCCGAGTGGTGATGACTTCAGTAAAGGTGCAGGGAGCTCTGTCCTACACTTGTGTTTTCCTCTTTTATCTTGGGTAAGTCTTAAGTCTTAAGATGTTGCAGGATTTTATTCTTCATTACTCTGCCCCAGCACCTAGAATACAGTGAACCTTTAAGCCTGATATCACTGTTGTTGTAATCGTTCATGACATTTTCATTTTGCATTTGCTGCATATATTTTAATAAAGGCTTCACAAAAGAAGAAGCTCAAGAGGAGATTAAAATGCTAAATCTGATTTGACTAAGTTGTTCATGCAGATTAATATGATGATAAGATATGTAGTTATTCACTCCCTTTCCTTATTTAACTACAGATTTGAACCATTGAAATTCAGGTCAAAATCTAATTTCCATTTTTCTGAATCTGAAATTTTTTTTTATTGAGACATGTATAAGTGAACATTTCAATTTATAGTTTGTCAAATATGCACAGACACTCTTTCCATAACCCAGACCCATGACCATTATACACAGACGTGCTTGCAGTCTCTTGGATTCACACTAACACATGCACAGTCTGTCATAAACCCACATTCAGATTCAGACACACGCTGTTACATAAGCATTAACGCTGTGGCCTCACGTTCTCCCGTGCTGAGCCGCTGACCGCCTCGCTCACTCTCATTCGCCAGATCCCATTGGGTTCGTTCCATTGAAGAGTTTCCCTCGGGGTGAAGAATACAATGTTGTCATCTCTCGAGCCATCTCTGGCTCTTCCCCACCCCCCGAGTTAAAAATAGCTGTGGCTTGGCCAGAACGTTGTGCCGTGGCAAAGATTCAGTTGTTCTAAACATCCCATCGCAGCGAGCGCTGGTCCACAGACCCAAATGTGTCTTTCTCTCGCATAACGGTGTCAAAGTCTGGCCCTCATAGCAAAGCCCAGACACACAGAAGGATTGTGCACAGCCTGGTGACGGTGGTGGGGAATGAACAGTGGCGACTGTATCCAGATGGTTGAGGAGATTTTTTTTTTTGTGGCCCAGTTCAAGTGTGACAACTTTGTTTCATCTCAGCTCTGAATTACATTTCTCATTAATGGAAAAAAAACAGGATGGGAATTGTTATTATTATTTAGGTTTTATCAGTATTTTTACAATATTAGGCGTCTTTTCGTAAAAACTTGACTTTGTCACAAGAATATCATCAGAGAATTGAAAGTTTGTATGTATTCAGATTATTGTTTTTGCAAATTAAAGCTGTGATTCTAGCTCAGAGCTGTTTTTTCCCCCAAAGAAAATATATTCAACTCTAACAATAGTTGTTGCAGAAAGAGAAAGAGATGGAACCGTCTTCACCTCTGCCTTCTCCCTTTGTAGGATGGTTACACTGAAAGTGTTGAACAGCATCGTGCTCCTGGGGAAGTCGTGTGTTTACGTCAAGAGAGCCAACATGGAGGACAAACTGTTTGAGAAGCCGTCCACCACCACTGCATCTTCCTCTGCTAAGACCCCGAGTAAAGCTGAGCCGGCCAGATGTCGAACACCTTCAGGTAAAACACAGACTCCTGTAAGGCTGGTTTTTAAAAAGCATTCGCATTTTGCTCTCAGAAGGTCAAGTGCTTTTTTATTTTTCTTTCTTTTACATATTGTTATCTTGAGGCAGACGGAAAGCAATTGCACTTATGACTAACAAAATCTTGGACTCCACCCAGTGGTGCATTATTTCCCCGTTGCACTGAGAATTATCACCCGAATCATCAGCTTGTAGAATACAAGCACGGCAGGCAGTTGATTTCAGAGAACAAACTCCGAACACTGTTTGTTTATCATCAAATGACAAAAAGACTCACTAGTATAAGGATATAATGAAAACATACGTTTCCCGATACATCCTGCAGCCCTGTATGACATCATATTTAAAATCTGTTCATCAATTTAATGGGAGCAAAATATCACCATGTCAGGCTTTTTAAGGTAAGAGACGCACACAGGTTGACCCAGTTAATGGGGGGGGGAGTTTCCAATCACTTTACATAATTATTCAAATATCTCAGCTACATAACATTCTGTTCCTCTCACTGATTACACTGTGTGGAGCATTCAGGGATCCCACGATCGAGCAAAACCAGACTAACTCCCGGAATTGTACAACCCTCGTGTATTGTGATGGATTTTGGTTGTATATACATAATATGTGTATATATTGCAGTTTTATCTAAAGTGTTTTAGCTGTTGTGCAACCAGAATATACTCCATCCAACATATTCATTTTGAATTGCAAACGATTTGTAATCACAGACCATCGGTGTGAAAAATGCACAAGACCTTAAAGAGCTTCCTTCTTCTTTTCAGTAGTAAATGAGACGTCCTGGGATTTGATCCTGTTTATTAATAATGTTGCTCTCTGCCTCCTGCTTGAATAGCAGATGAATTATATAACATTGAATAGATATATATAGTTAAAGCTCCATGAGGTAATTCAGACGGATAATAATCATTGTAAAAGGACAAAAGTAAACAGGATTTGTTCTCTTATGTGATGGAGCCTTTAGTATTTATCTGAAATCAACTTTAATTTGTTTTTCCTTGTTTTTCATTGTTATATGAAAGAGCTGGACTGGCACACAACACAATAAGAGAAATAAAGGTCTGCTTTTTAATTTATAATCTAAAGGATGGAAAATCTTAAATGATCAGTGAAAACATTTGTAAGTTGCAATTAGAAATTGCAGTTGGAAATTCACTTGGTAGTTTTTGCGTCATCACGCTGACAAACAAACAAACAAACAGATTTACAGGGGTAAGAGCCTACGTCCTTCGAGTTAATAATAAAGAATAATAACTTATAATAATAACATGTGGAGTCGGAGAAAAATCCATGTTCTCTTCTTCTGCCTCCAACGCTCTCAGTGGCCGGGATTTGAACCAGTGACCTCAGATACCGTGCTCACTTTTCTTACATTAAACTACTTTGGTCGGCGGCTCCTGCTTCACCTGCTGCTCCAGTGGATTCATTGCACAAATGTGTTCATCTGCACGTCTTTGTCTTTACAATGATCTGGACTCACGTAACACAGTAGATCTGCCATCTGTCTGTACAGTTCTCGTCCGGAGGGCAGACACGGACAATGAGCAGTTAGGAATCAGACATTTCAGCCGTTCGGTGGATCACGTTTATCAAAGCTCACGGAACGTCCGATTTCTTTTGACCACTTGGAGAATGGCAGAACAATATTTGATTTAATGATTATTCCTAGTCAGTAACTTTTTGTCAGTTGTTTGGTTCTGTGCACATAACAATCTGAAAACTGCTGCCTGCTGCAGGAGGATTTAAAAGAGCTCCGAAACTAAATCACAACAGTAAAGTTGCCGAGCATTAAAGCAGAAGAACGAGCTGAGCGATGTTATAACGCTCTGTCGAGCAGCCACAGCTGGGTGATAATTCTTTATTTGTTTGCTGCATTTCACATTATGTTGTTGACATAAAAATCACTGGCAATACAACGTGGAAATCAATTTCACTTGTTGGCTCTTTTCCATCTTCGGTATAGAATCCAAGATGTTTCCAGGAATTACTGCTCAGTCGTGATGTCGTCTCATTCAGCGCCACATGTCTACTTCCTGTCATGTCCCTCACGTCCCACAAGTCATGGCAGAAAGCATCTGACCCATGAATCTCAAAAGACAAAACAACACTGAATAATTAAGGCAGAATAGATTGATAAGTGAATCTCTCCAAATCCGCTCGTACTCTTTGTCCTGTAATGTCTCTTAAACGTCCATTATCGTATTTAACATTTACCTTGTATTTCTCAAACACACGTATATAGTATATATACTTTCTATATGCTCGGTGTGTTGCACTGTGAAGTGTTGTTTCAGCTCTGTCTACAGTGAGAACTAGAAGTTTGTTGGAGCCAGATCGCCCGCGGCTGGGCGCTCGTCTCTGTGGACAGGCTTGTTAATATCCGGCTTTGCTCGATTCTCTCTGAAATGATGAATTATTCTGTTTGGTTGATTTTGCAAATGTGAGACGCTGTGTGTGCTCACAGCTACAAGGCTCTGCAGTGTTTTCTTTTAACATAATGCAGTGGATTGTGAAAGGAAACCAACTGTGCTGCAGCAGCATGCTCAGAGTCAGACTGTCGTGTTGGATGTGAGCAGTGAGGCGGGTGGAGGTTGTGTGAGTCGTGGACCTGGCACGTTGAATCACTTCCTGTCACTCAACCCAGAACAACGCTTTAGTTACCGACTGAACGTTTCTGCTGGAAGACACCACCCTCTTCTATGCTCCTCCTTATGTCATGTTAGATGATGATGATGATGATGCTGTTTCTACTCTTTACAGGTGAATCTAAGGTGGATGAGATCCCTGCCACGCCCTGTAGTCCACCATCCTCCTCCTCCTCCACCACCTCCTCTGTGACCACTCAGCCGGCTCCCAGGACTGACTTGTTTCCTCCCCCGCCCACTGATGCCTCTCCCGCTGCACCGGCAGTCCGTCCTCCATCTCCATCTCCACCACCTGAACCAGAACAGCCCGCGGCCTCGCTCTCCAAAGAAGAGGAGGAGGAAGCACAAGCGGCCGCTGAGCTGAAGCACAGGACTCCCAAAAAAGATCTGCTGGAGATCGACCGGTTCACAATCTGCGGTAACCGCATCGACTGAGCAGCAGCAGCAGCAGCAGCAGCTGCGAATGTAGTGATCAACCACTCAGGAAAGACAGACAGCGGAGGCCTCTCAGCCCGGCTCTCCTGGACAACTGCAGCGAAAAGCTGAGTATTTATAAAAGTCAGTGGCGACACAGTCAGTTATTGTGAACGGGGACGCGGCCTGAGACCATCCTGCTGTTGTTCAAGCCTGAAGTTGAGAAGTTTGATGGAGAAAACTTCAGCAGGATTCTAACGGCAGGAGGGAGACGGAGGGAGGAACTGGTGTGTGTGTGTGTGTGTGCGTCTGTGTGTGTAGGTGTGTGTGTCTGTGTGTGTGTAGGTGTTAGGATGGCTCAGTGTTGAGAGTGTGAGCGTATGTGTGAGCACACAAGCACTTCCAGTGTGAGCAGCACTGGGACCAGGAGGAGAGAAGTTTCTCACTTTGCTCAGCAGCCTGAAAAAAAACCCAGAATAACTTCCAAACATAACATCGGCGCCATTTACAGCCTCATCAAGTGTTTCCTTATTTTAAATGTTGGTTGTTCATCTAATATCAACTCAATCATTAAGACAAACATCTTTTTCTTTTTACAAGCCACACCTTCTCATCAGATTATTCACAACAATGATCTAGAGGCGGTAGAGAAGCTTTCCCTCCAGGTTGAGGGTCAGGTTCCCCGAAGTGGTTTTAAGATAAATTGGTCTTGAGGTGATTAATGAGACACGTTTAGTTAGATTCCTCTACAGTTCACTGTTGTCCTCTGATTCACTGGATGATTTTACCTTCAGGCAACTGAAAAAGAGAAAGAACTACCTTTTTAGAATCGGTCACAAGCGTTTCACAAACATCTGTTGATGGGGTAAACACTGCAATTAACAGTCGCACACTGTTGATATTAGAGTCTATGCATCACTGCTTGCTTCATCAACGGCTCCGCTCAAAGGAAAGTTGAAGTTATACCTCGGTGGGGTTAGTTTGCATGGTTTTTAAAGTGCAGCTTTAAGTGGAGCTTTCACAGTCAACACGTTCGGTCATCAGCAGCCGACACACGGCTCCTTCGACAACTGAGAAACCTTTTATTCAAAGAACAAGTCAGCCCACAACATTATCCGAAGCTGCAGGTTTTAGTGTTGAAAGGTTCTGACACTAAGTCTGTTGCAGACAGAAAAAAAAAGGAGCTTTTGCAGTAAAGTTCTGAACAATTACTGAAGATAATTTAGATTTTCTTTCTTGCTGAGGTTACGTTTTTCATTTCTTTGCCCCTCGGGACAAATTTTTCCACATCTCACATCCCTCAAGATCCAACGAGTGTGATTTTCATAGATAAAAATTGTATTTAATTCTTCATTACTCTTGGTCTGGAGAATGTTTGCACTGATTGACCACTTTGTCTTAAATACGACAGGTCACATTTCTCATCCGACTCGCAAGTGATGTTCTAATGTTTACATCCTCAGAAAAAAAAAAAAGAAAGCAATATTTCCACAACAGAATGCCTTGTTTGAATGCATGCTTCATTTTGTGTTGACCGATCTTGTGAATTTTTTGATTTAAACTGATTTAAACTTTTCTTGAATTGCAATGAAGAAATCTATAATAGCAATATATGTATTTATATATTTATATATATATATATATATATATCGTATTTGCTTTCATTTGTTACCCATGTTTGCAATTAAGCGTGATAAAAATATTATCTATTATTGTGTCAAAGTGTTATCATCTATAATCTAAGTCGGGCCATAAATTTCCTGCAGCCAGACCCAATGTTTCAGCTGCAGAATCTCATCTGAATACTTTGAAATCAATCAATCAATCAATGAGGGTACGTCATGGAGCACGTCCTGGTTCCTGCCGTCTGCACCAGGTTGTACTTTGCAGCTTTGTGCATCAAGCTTTTTCTTTTATCTGAATTATTATTAAGACAAATTCATTTGAGTGGTTACGAGATCAGAGCATTTGTGCTGAAAGTGATTTCAACAGTCAGAAAATAAAAGCTGGTAGGATTATTCAATGTCCTCTTTGTGGTACACTCAGTTCATTTTGGATTGAACGGTACTTATCTACCTGGTTGATGAATCAAACGTGAAAGTTTTTATTTTGATATTTCGCTTTAAGAAGAATGAAGATGTATGTGATATAAAATATAGATGTATATGAAGTTTACACTTAATCAGCGTTGATTTCATTCTGTTTTGAAGAGAGATTGTAATATAAGATAAACTTCTATTTTTGGAGCTGCCAGTTGTTGATGTTTAATTTTTTCTTTTTTCATTTTTGTGCATGAAATCTGACGCAGAACTTCATGTGGTTTTGTCAAAAGTCTCGTCTCCGCTGTCCTGAGCTCGGCCTCGTTGTGATCGGTCTGAACCCGACGGATCCACAGCTGGACCCAGCGGAGCTCAGGACGAGAACGGAGACGAGGCTGAAGTGTTCTTATGGAAGCTGCGATGGTCCAGTGCACTGCCTGCTCTGTCTCATCAGGCTGGTTCTTTATTTAATTGTATGAAAAGTCTGTTTTTTGAGTTAATAAAAAGTTGTTTTTTTAAGTCAGTTGTTTGAATCCAAATAATGCAGAAGAATTATTATGAAATATTCTATTTTTTATCATCTATGTGAACATTTCTTGTGTTTCTGTGCTGTTGGAGCCTCTTTATTTATTTGGACACAGGTTTATTTGGAGTCCGTCCAGATTTCAAGTCACGAGGATTTGTGATGCTGCGCCTCAAGTTTCCATCTGCCTCAGCGTCTGTAAGTGAATTTTACTTCCTCTCACAGAGTTTCTGGGGTGAGCAGCTCGTGACTTGTCTGGATGTTTTTATTCACAAGTCTGGAAAAGTAGAAGGAAACCTGCGAAAGACGTGTTCAACTTACAAAACTGCAGAAGTGAAAAACTGCAGAATGTTTTGTTCAGGTGCAGAAATAAATGCCTGTTTTCAGACGTTTTAAAAATCACTGTCTTCTCTTTGGACGTCTGGTCAGACAGTCAGTTCTTTTTCCACTGCACAAAAACAACTGACATTTCCTGCAGCTACAAAATGCAGATGTGAAACACTCAGTCCCAGTTTAATAGCTTCACTTTGCAAAATCGAATTCAGTCTGATACAAACCTTGCTGCAGTGAATATTATAATGTTTGGTGTTGAATGTTTAATCTGCTTATTCAACCTCATGGTCATTTGGAAGATTGAACTTTGTATTCTGCCGTTTAAATGTTTCATTATACCGAAATGTTTTTTAGCATTACTCACTGCTGATGGTGTGGGAGGACAAAACAACCGAGCACTTGTTAAACAGTAAAACTGATGAAATGAACATTTATAGTATCTGCATCAATTCAACATGTGAAATATGTTTTTTTTTTTACATATTAGGTTGTAGTGTAGTGTTCCACATGTGATAAACATATAAAATGTGCACGTTATATCGATATACCTTTTAATGGTGGTTGAAACAGTTAGCGAGCAGCTGTATCTCATGTTTTGTGTTGTTCGGCCAATAGCTCTGGACAAAGCTAGTAAGTGCACCTTGAGTTTGTGTTTTGTTAAAGTACCTGAATCTGTATTTTCTGCAGTTAGAAACATGTGAAATGCAGGATTACAGCTCCTCGGTGCCTGTAAGCCGACGTGCTCAGCCCCCGGATGTCTCCACCTGTCCTGAAGCAGAGCTGCAGCTCCGGTGTCTGATGAGGAGCTGAGGTCAGGTAGAGTAAATCTCCTGCAGACATTCTTAGAGAGTTAATCTCCTTAAAGTGCGGAGGACTGAGACGAGCCTCAGATGTGTCACAGTGACCGGGAAGTCCTCTCTAGACAGGACGACAGTAGTAGTAGTACTTGGAGAGACTCCATACGTCACAGGTTTAATATCATACGATGGTTCTCCTCATACGAGTCTAAACTTGTACATGTTTTAGAGTCTTTTTATTGAATAACTTGTTTGTGTGATTTTATCCTGGAACCTCGTGGCTACACTTCGATTTTGCATTTGTATTTTTAATCAGATTTCCTTGAAGCTAAACTTAATCTCTGAAATCAATTTTCTTCTGGCTCAACCAACCGAGTAAATCCTCAACAGTGACATTATTTCCTCCTCCAGTGCATGAAATGCATCTTCTCAGCTGAAGGTCCCATCTGCCCCTGTGCAGGTCTAATGAGTGTGTTCAGAGAGGAAAGGTGCTCGAAACCACTATTCAAAGTTTTCCCCAAACAGGAGGGCCCCTTGTCTCCAAGAGCCCGGGGCCTCATCTGCACCGGCGGAGAGGACAAGAGTGTTATTGTTCCGAGAGACAGAAGAGAAACTCCACCTGATGGTGGCTCCACCAATCAGGCTGCACCTCTGGGCTGCACCTCAGGTATCCCGTGTCTGCCCTCTGGGTGGAGGAGAGGTCAAAGGTCAGGGAGACAGAGAGCACCTGTTAGAAAGCAGAGGTGGGAAGTTTGTTTTAGGGGAAATGGTTCTGAAATGTTTGACTCACCACAGAATATTTTAGGTTAAACTATCAAACAGTATTGAATTGTTGAATAAACTTTAACTACATCAGAGGTGGGGTGTAATAAAGTACTTTTATTTTGTATTTGTACTCAAGTAGATTTATTTTCCAGGTACTTTTACTCCTCTGCAAATATGCTATTGTATTAAACATAATATGCAGTATACACATTTACTGGGGGTAAGCTACACTCAGCAAGTATAAGTTTAGTTGTAGTACTCAATGTATATTTAAAAGCAAGTATTTGTAACTCAAGTATTCTAATGTGATACCTTCACAGTAGTGCATTTTGTGTATTTTTATTTATTTGTACGTTTACTTAAGTTAAATGTTTGGGTACCTCGTCCACCAATCCATAGATTTTCTATCACACTTTTCTACACACCAGTAAAATAAGACGAATACTTGTAGATCATTTTTAAAGCAGTTGGGACTCTGGACCATTTGAATACTTGTTTTATTATTAGGTTCCTTTAAATTGAAGCCTAATGAAGTACAGCAGATGAGTACATGTACTTATTTTTCTCAGTCTCGACATGTTTCAGGTGATAAATGTTTGCGTTCATCCACAGAAACACAGAAATAGTAGCTGGTCTTGTCCTCCGGTCCCTGTCCTCTGGTCCCTGTCCTCCGGTCCCTGTCCTCCTCTCCCAGCAGGAGGAGCGCTTCCCTCTGGACCGGTCCTCCCTGTGCAGACGCCCCACTGGCGGCGGCGCGCACCCCCGCCCTCTCCCGTGACGCACGGATGCCGGAGCGGCAGAGACAGGCGCGCTCATCTCGGTGGGACTAGAGACCGGAGACCGGAGGAGAGAACATCGCCCGGTACGCGTCCATCGGTGGAGCCTCAGAGCAGCGGGGGGAACGATGCGCAGACCGAGCCTCTCCGCGGGCAGCGCCACTTGAGAAGCTGCGGTCCTTCATCCAACGGGACACTTTTTTACTCTCGCCCCTTCCCCTCTTCTCTTCCCCTCCTCTCTTCCCCTCCTCTTGATAAGAAACCAGGCGAGAAGCTTCCAGCGCACGTTCAGCTGCATCTAACCCGGTTTGAAGACACAGCACTCGGGTTGGGTTTTTTTTTTTTTTGTCGTTTGGTCACAATGTGGAGGACCGGGATCCTCCTGCTGCCGGGGCTGCTGCTCCTGGTGTCCGGTGAACTCCAGCTGGAGACGGAGCCGAGGAGACTCCCACCCCCGGGAAAGTTGGATTTCGGTTATGTGCCTGCGGGACTCTACGAGACTCTGGCCCATTACGAACCGGGGCCGATAGGGATCCTGTTCCACATGGTGCACACGTTCCTGTACGCGGTGCAACCCAACGCTTTCCCGCAAGGTAAGAATCCTCCATCCGGATACACGGAGTCCCTGAAGGGTGTGTGGGGGGGGGTGATGGGCTGTATATCATGGAGGGGGATGCAACTGGGAACAGACACTTGTGATTGTGTTGTAACAGACACTGTGAGGAGAGTGGGTCCGGTTGTGTTCATCTGTGACAATAACGCATCATCCACATCATCCACATCCACTGTGTTCCGTTTGAATCCGGACGATTCCACTCAGATTATATAAGACCCCAGGAGACTCTGCACACACACGAGTCTAATTTGCTTTTCATGAATGATTCTCGAACAGTGTCCTCTCTTGGATTTGTGGCCCATCCGTGCGTCACGTCGCTCCACGCAGCGCGCGGTTTGATTTGTGCGCAGAGCTGACACGAGTGTGTTGTTTCTGCCCGGGGCGCACTTTGTGTCAGGTTAATTACTCTTAATGAAGCTCTTGCTGACTGCACCGTGTTCTCGATGACACATGCACGCGCACACACACACACACACAGCTGTTGTTGTTGGTTTTTTTGGTCTGAATGAGAGAGTGAAAGGTTTGTTGGAGACGCACAGAGCGCGTCAGGACGCACGGTTCCACATTTAATACAATTAGACCTGACTGCTTAAACCAAACACACAAGAGGTGTGAGCGTTTAATCAGGTCGTGGATGCTCAAAACATGCGTCTCCCTTCTATACGTCACAGTCCCAGTGTCCATATACTCCCCTCTGAACATTTTGCAGATTAACAGCTCCCTGAGTCACCTTGTTAA